ATATTTATAAAGCTGAGACGATCAGTGGTTGTTGAAATATGTACACTGTGTCAAAACTTTTTGAACTCCCCACGTATTGCATCATAATCAACCGGCTTAATATTAAACATCCTTCAAACATAATATTTTAGTTTCCAAATCCAACCTGTACCAAGTCAATTTATTGAAGACGTTTACGTAAACTTTCATCATTAGCCAGTTCAAAAACCATATGCCTGCATTAAAAGTGAATAAGATAAAAATATTAGTCGTCCATGAGATTGCCATCTTTGTCTAGACCCCAAAAGCGAATAATGTTTGCATCGTTGTTCATATGCCTATGGTGTTTTAGCTCATGTATAAACGTTCATTCAAAAACAACATGCAAATATGAGTACGCGGGCAAAGCATAACCAACTTAATAGACAACCTCTTCTACAAATTGGGCTTGCGCATCTTCTTTACAATCTCCTGGTTTATCAGTCTTCACTGCAACAGTCATATTTCCTAAAGCTAGTTCTTCTTTCATTAATGCTTTATACACCACAGCGTGCGTCCTCAACTCTATCCGATTTTGACACTTATTTAGCTGCCAAACGATTTTACTCGATGAACCGCGCACAACAGTACTTCTTTTCTGAGGTAGACAAAGGTGCGAATTTCAATGAAGAAAGGCAATATTTTTCAGTGTGATATGTCTAGCACATGTTTTCGGACGCTATAACGATCAGCTGTATAAAGTACAATAACTTCTTTATAATCAATGCAAAAAATTTCTCTAAACGCTAGCTATTCTCGGTTTTTTCGAGCGTGGACCTAGAAACTAAATGCAAAATCTCCAATTTTTTGCAATTTGCGACTCCCATATAAACGTAAGTCACGTGGTTTATACATATTATGTGTCGTAGAATACTACGTACATAATATAGCATTATATATCGTGAGTGAATTGTTTTCAGATCATGTTTCATTTACATGCATAATATCAACTATTAGGTTCGCGAGAAACATAATATTAATTATACTTTATTATGTGGCTCAGTTCACACATTGTTTCTTTTTTCTAGCAGAGAAAATAATGAGAGTGGAGCAGAGTTTGTAACAAAGAAGCTAGTCATTGCATAATATAAATTCTTACCTTCACTCATATTAATATGTATTCCACAGCTGATCAAATTTAAATTAGTCATATTTTGCCGGTTTTTCATCTTTTCTTTAACTCGCTGTTGTCAAATTCAAAACAGCTCTAATTCTTTCTTTCTTCTTTGACTCATCAAGTCTGTACTTGCACAACAATATGATTATATTTCTGATGTAATTTTTTTTTCTAATTCATGCACAAGACTGCTATTTGTCTTATTTTAAATTGCCTCATATTTGCACACAGCTTTACTAATACATTTTCAAAACATTACTATTACCTGATCTTTAAACACTTTTTTGCAGTTCCAATTTCGTAAGTCTGCCATTATTACTCTTATAACGGTATTTGTCTTTGTTGTTGAAATACGAGTTAACCGTTAACTTCTTCATAGAATAGGAGCAGAACATGATTCAGTTTTGACCAATGGAATCGTGAGAGATCTGCTCCGCAGATTAAGATGGGTCATGCGCCTAAAATTTGATAAATATGATCACGTGAACGGCAGACTCGGATACCAATGTATGTCAATACTTGCAAACTTGCACGCGGTCTTGAGGGAATAACAATATTAACCATCGTATTCTATAAAAGAAAAGGCCTAATTACCGGTGACTGTTGTTATAGACGGAATGTATTATCGGGGTAAATATGGCTAAATTCGTTATTCATTGTTGAATTTTAAAGTCAGTCAATCTTAATTATTGGATATCAGTGACGTCAAGCAAGCCCCTATCACATCATCGTATTTAAACGAGCTATTGATGCGACTGCTTCTCTTTTATTCTCTCAAACTTATTCCCCCACACTATTATGTCATTCGCGACAAAAAGCAAAGAACGTGAGTACTGCACTGTGTCTCTTTCTTGTGTTGCCAGAGTACCTGAACAAGCAATATTACATTTTAGCTTTGTCCAATTTCTGGAAATATGGTGGGCTTGTGGCAGGCTGCTGGTTTGCCGAACGTCTGATGGATGCGAAGATAAATGGGGTGGCAAACCGGTTAGACGCGAGGATAGACGGGGTGGATAAACGGATAGACGGGGTAGAAAAACGGATAGGCGGGGTAGAAAAACGTCTCGACAGGGTCGAGCACAAGTTAGATAACTTGGGCACAAAAATGGATGAACTAATGGGCTGGATGAAGGCGCAGCACACAAGGTAATAATTCAACATTATTTCCTTAGCACTAGTTGATGTAAAAATCAAAAAACCTATCACAACATTATCGTGTAAAAAGTAGGGGAGGCGATTTTCTGAAATGAATAAGATGTATGTCGTCGAACGCTACGAAATGGATGGACGAATGTTTAAATTTCGTCAGAACCAAAATCGATCGGAGAACGTTTCGGATGAATATTTTACGACGCACAATTCTTATATCTGTGTTCTTGATCCTTGCTTCTAAAAAAGTGATTACAATATACTTTGCAACGATTTCAATTCTCGTTGCCATGTTAAGTGTTAGTTTGCAATTATAGCTTCATAAAAGTTTCGAATGTAAGTATAAATACTTTCTACGGATAACTGTCAATTGTTGAGCTAAATAAAGATACAATATTGAGCTTCGGCCATAACTAACCACCCTATGTAAAAAATTACTTTTGATTGATTAATTTTTACTGGGTTACGTATATATACTCTTCAACTATCTTTGGCTGACAAAAATTGTTGAAGACTAAGTTAACGCGTTGATGGCGAACTCACGTGATAGCTTGCAATCTCTTACGTCTGACCAACCATCTACGCTTGATCATCAAAACTAGTTCCATGTTGTAAACGTCGACTGTTTAAAGCAAAAAGAAAGAAAGAATTAATTATCAATATCGAGAACGTTGGTTTGCCAAAGAATCTAGCCGTTGACTTGACGGACAATTTTGCTCACATGATCAAACTCTTTCATTTATACGTCCCAAAAAGTTGTTAAATTAGATAAATTGATAAATATTTTATATCAATTCAAAATTGTGTTGTAAACTGACTGCGAAAAAATCTTTTAGTGTGGTGTTACTAATATTGATGTCAGACAATAGGACTAGAGGACAAGATGCTGTATGGAGTGTCTGGGATTGTCGTCTGCGGTTGTTTCAATAATTATAGTAACATGTTACGTTGAATATTAGCAAAACTCTTGGTTATAGTTATGTCAATTCTCTAGTAAGATATTTTTTTTCTTAAAAAATAGGTTTATAGCTATTCCGCTTAATTTAAATTTTTGAGGCAAATAGCAAGCACGAGTAATTAAATTAAACTATACAAGTCTTGACTTGCTCGTGTGCTCAATTTACAATTTGCATAATTGCAAATCAAATGATGTAGTGCGCGTTTAATAAATTGTACGCTGAGTTGACCAGATTTATTGGGCAAAGAAAACCCATGAGTACGCGCATAATAAAAATAATAATAACTAACAACAACTATGTTCAAATACTATTTAATTTGATAATTGTATATTTAAACCCATCTCAATCTTATTATCTTCCTCTTGTTGCTTTTTTCTTCCTTTACAAAAGAACCTCCATACAATAATAATGCTACTCAATGGCAAGACTACACATACGCCTCCAACTTTAAATACCAAATACGGTTCCTTGAAGAAACCATTAGACGTGGTAGAAAAATTTGTAGATACCGGAGTAGACTCATATGTGGACGCAGGCTTATATGTGAGAGTCGATGCGTGTGTGGGAGCATACGGTGCGTATGTAGGAACATTGCCAAAGGGACTGCTTGAATAACTGTCTTCGTCAGTTGTTCCGTAACTAAAAAAAGAGTAGTGAAATAAATGAGTTACTTTGATAATTTAGCAGGGTCACCTCGTGTTGTTTCCTTTGATTTCGTACCATATGACACATCCAGCAATAAAGCGGTAATCACAGCATGGAGCTGTGGTTACTCGAGGTTTGGCATTTGCTGTTAGTACCAAGATGGTCATTAAAAGTATCGAACTTGCAAGGTGTATTTGCATTGTAAAGTATATCTTTACGTTTTTTTTTACTCTGGTAATTCGCTGTGTTGTTACTATGTTAAAACTGGTTTTGACATTACCCACAAAAAAAAATCAATCTATATAAAGCCTTTACGTTGCTTCAGATATTTTATTCACGGGATATGTGCCTAGTCGGAACACGTCGAATTATTAATTATATTAAATGTAGCCCAATCAATTTCTCTTGTAGTGTAATGCAAGCGGTGATATGATCATAAAACTTATGTTTTTCCATTTAATTCCCGAGTAGACGGGTTGCGCACCAATAGTCAACCTCACTAGGATATCGGCTGTACGTTTGAAACAGTATTGCGTCATAAACTAATTGATTCATAATATTAAGGGTGTTAGTTACTCTTTTTTTTTTATTCGAAACAATTTATTAAAGAGCTGAACGAGAAATTTGTTCATTGACCCATTAAATTGTTGATTCATGTGTGTACTAATCCGGCGAACGTTCTCTTGTGCAATACATTCACCTGTAGCTCATCATCATCAATTCATACAAATGCCCTATCTTCGACATACATTTATTTATTCTAGTTTTAAAAAGACGATTTCCGATAGCATTTCAGGCAAAACGTATAGCCGGATAATGTTACAGACTTGGGTAATTTATTATGATATCATTGTACTATATTTCTTTCCCATATTTCTTGTTAACATCGGAATATTTCACATATGGAAGAACAAAAACGCTTTAAATTAATTAATAGCATTTGCCCGCTTGTATGTGTTATTTCCGAGTCGGTAAATAACTGTATACAATAAATATAACAAGGGAATAACAAAACTAAAAAGAAAACTTTTTGAATGTTGATATCATCCGGCCTTGCGGTATCCAGATTTAGATTGAAACTAATTTGTATTACCGAGACTTTTGTCGATCTACAATTAAGATCTGATCTAGCATTATGTTTACCTCGATTGGTTTTGACAATTCTGCATAAAAACAAAGAAAACACATGTCATATCCGATAATTAGGTGATTAGATGTCACTCCAATGTCGGATACAATAAACAAAATTGATACATAGTTTCAGCCGCTGTCTACGTAATACATTACATAGAATACACGTAATCGACAGCAATTTTACAAGTTTTATTATTAATTCAATTGTCTCCAAAAGTATACATTGAAAAAGCAAAGTATTCGGTCGCACAAGAAGTCTTTTTTTTTAACGGTATTTTCTGTTCAATAATCTCCGCGCGTATCAACTCATGGCAAACGTCAAATCTCGATTTTGCTATTTGACGAACAAACATAAAGTGCCAGCGTAATTACTGTAGTTTTGAAAAGCCAACCTTCAATTTATTTGCAGTTTATCAAATACAAATGTAAAGCTGAGTTTGGGCGCCCGCTGTTTGTTTATGAAAATATGCGAGATAAGACATACAGATGCGACGTTATTACTTCGAACGTAAACCGCTTTATACCTCAAAGTTTCTGTAATAAACTCGGAAAATAAACAACCCAGATACGTATTAGACTAAAAAAAATGAGAAAAATAAAGTTGTCTTAAAATAAAGGTTTGGAATACACAATATTGTGAGTGTTCGAGACTAGCGTTTTAGTCCGCCGGGTTGACGAGTCCGTGATATTGACTTGTGAGTTTATACTGGATATTACTTAGTACAAAATTTCGTCGCAATAACTTTTACTGTGTAGATATAAAGTTAATGACACTTTGAAGTATAGCAATAATCAGTGTTGAATAAACATTCTTAATTGACACCGTAATCCAATACGTGTATTATTAACCTTTCCTCGTAATAAGAAAACTGCTTCTATTGTACAGCACTTATTATATTAGAGTTGGAACATTGCTATACACATAAGATTAGTGTTAAATGATTGGATCAACTTACCAACGGGCATCATGTATCGATTATGTAATCACATAAATTATGTGAGAACACGATAACGACTCTTAAAATTTGGTATTGAAAACGGTCGTATATAGTGTGTAGTACGCGGATATGAACCGTGCTGTAAATAAACTGCAAGCATTAGAGATCTGAGACAACATCACAATATTCATCGGCAAAAGCAGTAACATGTGATGTAAGTGAAAATCTCCGTTAAACTAAAAATGGTCTTATTGTTAACATACAGAATTAATACGAAAATCTTAAATGTATTAATAATAAGAATACAATTTATTACGCACATCAATATTAATATAATATCACACATAATAATAACTAATACAAATTTTGTACAAAAGCCATACGACTACATTATTAATTATTACTATGCTAGCACTCAATGTTCTGTTACTAGACGAGAAAGAAAATTCTTACTTACTCTATTAACAGCGTACGATTAAATAATTAGACTTTGAAGAATAAACAATACGTCTTTTGATTCCCTGGAAATACAGGCATGACACGCTCAAAGCGCATTTGATAGATTGCGATATCATACTGGGTATAAACTTGCTGCAGGACAAAAGAACTTTAAAGGTCTGCTTTTGTTGGGCCGACTGTCGTTCATCAAGTTCGAATACACACCGAATGTTGTCAGACAAAAAACACACTTTTGAGTAACTTATCTTTTATGCTTGGACAGGAGAGACGGCTCGACTAAACAAATTAAAAATATATATTACGCTATAAAAACGAATGCCTAGTGCATAAACTGATTCTAAAGAAAGGAATAATTTGACACTATTTAGCCCGTATCAGCACTTGGAAATTTGTTTTGTGTCACCAGATATTATTCATATTCAAGAATTACTCGGTTAAAATTGCGAGTGATTTGTTTTAGCAACAGTTTGGGGTTGAAATGTAAGTAGACGAAACCGCACTCGGTATATATGTTGTCAATACATTCGTAGTCAGTCTTCTACCTCAGTTTTATCATAATCATGCGTAAAAAGTTAAGTTGATTATTCACGTGTTACTACACCATTATTATTATTGAAATCACACTTTCTGGTGATTTGCGTTCTTTATTGATTGCACCTACGAGTGAACGCTAAAGGTGCCAAATCAAAAAAAAAAACAACAAAATCACACTTTCTGCCCCCATGCCCTTAAAAATACCCATTTAGCACCAATCGTTTTCAAATACTGATTTGCTGACTCGCAAATTGCATCGTATTCTTCTTCTGACACCTGCATCAATGGTATGAGAAAAGTTTTGCACAACTTCCAGATCTTTTGAAAGTCTTCTACACCCTTTGAATACAGAGTTATTATATAAGGTGCCGTTATCTTATACAGTATCCATCATAAACACAAAATTAATACTCACCATGTCGGCCACCTTCTCTCCCATAGGTCCAACCGGAAGACGTTTTTCCAGGCTGTTGATATTATTATAACGATTACCTTCTTCCAGAAATCCTTTGACTTCACTTGCAGCATTAGAATATGTATTTGATGCGTCACCTAGATCAACCACTAGAGAAAATGAATAAACGTTAATAGTTAATGTGAGCTTTGAGTATCTTGAAAGCATTATTACTATTAAAACGCTTCTTCTGATCCCTCAACTTACATGCTTTAATTAACAGGTCAAATTCCTTGGAATTGTCCTTGGAATTGCACTTTAGCATAATATCACATTCCATAAGCTCCACCCATCCAGTTGACTTGGCGACCCTCGTATACTCGGGAATAGCAATCTCTTTCCATTGATTTTTTTTATATGCCCCAGTAAGAAATCTGGCAAACACATAGTCGAATAAATTGTCTTCAAAGGGTAAGCCATGGAGAACGTTGTGTGTTATAAATTCGACATTATCAGGTTGTTTATCCTTAAGGACTACCGGTGCCATGTCTATGCCGATGAAGTGGGAGTTGGGGTATTCTTCGGCCAACTCGAGAATCCAGATACCCGAGCCGCATCTTTATTTCGGAAAGGAATAACTATCACGGTCACTAATAATGTTCACGTAAAGCGATGTAGCTATATTTTTTGGCTTGTAATAGTTACGTAGTAGCATATGCTCGTCGTCCCAACCCAACGAAATAACACAACTTTTATTTTTACCCACCCGACATCAAGCACTCTTGCACCACTCCTCAAAATCTGGTCGACAGGTGCCGCGAAATTCCCATTGAACCCATGCTTAATGAAAGTATGCTGCAAGTCCAATCTTTCTCTCTCTTTTGTATCATTTTGTATGTTATAATTCGATTTCTTGCTGCTCATTTTTACGTTACAATTGGTATAATAGATTGTTGCATGAGAGGGTGAATTAGATATCAGCTTTGTGTGTGTGATACAAATATATAGATAATCTCCATTGAAGTTTATCGTATCGTGGGGGACACAAGTACGCATCAATTTTCAAGGGGAACTAGAGCAGTTGTGCTGAGCCCGGCCGACTATGTTGACCGGGCGAAGTACGACGAGTTTGATAATAGTCTAAGTAGTTACTAAATTAAATGTGAGTCAAAATATATTAATTAAGAGTATAAATTTATTTAATTGTTTTTACGATTATACTCTTTAATATTAATTACGCTTAAATCGGTAATAAATGCATCCTTGTGTAATGACGTTATCTTAAGATTGTTGGACAGCGGTGATAGATACGTAATATTAGTATTAGGTAATGTAAGGCCTTGCGTTTTATGTACCGTTAATGCAAATGCATTCTGAAAAGGAAATTGAATACGTGATGCTGGTTGGCCTACTGCATAAAAGTAAGTGTGTAGCGAGATACCCAACAATGTATTATTCCAATCTTGACACTTGAACGGATAGTGTCTCTTTGTCAAAATCGGTGATAATTCCGATTGTTCCATTGCAAATACCATTTTCTATCAAAGAATTATTTAAGAACATTACTCTTGCTCCCTGCTGTATACGTAATGAAGAAGGTAAGTTTGCTTTGAGTTAAAGTCGGACTGCGTCATTTCAGTCGGCTGTGAACACCGTTGATGTAGTCGAGTGTCTCACAAACCATAAATTTATCATTTTCTACAGGCAAAAATTGAATTTGTGAATCACATATTAATATGAA